TACAAGTCCCCACATCGTTTTATCTAAAAGAACGTTTGTTAGTTATGGCTTTTTGCAGTTTAGGTGGCAATATATATGTATGTACATAGTTATCATTGGTTAGCCGATTGTAGTTATAGCGTTTTTAAATATATTACTTATAGAACCCACCGAAGGCGTTTTGGAAGTTGTGTGTTGCAGCCACTGCAATTTGTTTGAGAAGCAACTTGAAACAATTGATGGGAAGCTGGATCAGCTCCTTTTGACTGTCGAAAGGCAAAACACCGCGATTATGGATGCGATTGCAAGCCAGAAAGTGGTTACACAGCAATTGGTTCGCCAAGAGACGCAAAATGTACCTGTGGCAAAATACTTCCCTGTATGCGATATAACGGAAATGGAGGAGCTGGAGGCAAAAATTTCTTCTGCCAACAAGGATGTATATGTACGCTAGTTATTTATTTATGTGTGAACGAAATTTCTAATATTTATTGTACCTATTTACAGGAATCTGTAATAGCATCAATTTTATGTAATAACATGAAAAATATTTCACTCGTCTTAAAAACGGACGTCATTGTAGCCTTAAACCTTGATGGTTCACATGGAAAAATTGGGCTAAAAAAATTTCCAAACTTTTATACCGTGTTGACAGGTAAAATGCAAAATTTTATTATAATAAATTATGATTTCTTTTTAGTTTAAATGAAATTTTTTTTTTTAAATTTTCAGGAGCCGTTGCCAAGTTACCATTCAAGGGATCGACGCCGGAAGAGATGCTTAGAAAAGCCATCCATTTTGAAAAGGCTAAATATTTTAAAAAACTTTACCGCGAAAAGAAAAAGAACAAAGAGAATTAAGTTCTTAAATTATTCTTAAGTGCCAAAAGAACTGAGGAAACCTGAAATTTTTAAGTTTTTCACTAACCCCCCTATCATAAATTTTCACACGATAGACGATAAACGCTTGCAAGCGTATCGTACGAAATCAGTTCTCGTATAATCGTATAATCGTTTTCATATGACCGACAGACCGGCTTTTTATTGTGAACCAGCACAAATCAGCTACGCTAATTATAGGATT